AGGCCTTTTCTTTGTATTGAGGCACTAGTATTCTAGGTTCTGATGATATCCATGTTACATTCAGATATGCATATTTTTTTATCACAGTAACAGAAATGATCACGATGAACAAATATAGTATTGCCCACCTCTAGTTCAGAACTTGATGTAGTTCTGCTGTCACACTCTTCTTCAGAATGGGCTGTAGGTCAAAAATGATCTTATAGAAATTATCTAATGGGTTACTTTTTTGCATTTGTATGTGACAAAGTTGAAATGTGTTAGTTGCTGCCTGCAAAGCAGTCGTTACTAAGCAACCGGTACTCAGCTGAATGATATAAAAAAATAATAAAAATTATGTTATTGCATTGTGATTGTGCCGAGAACAGTTCTCAACCAATCCGATTGTGTCGTTGAATCTACCTGTTGTATAAGTTCACATATTGAACAGACACACAATAATACATGCTACACGTTTACATCACATATGTAGTAGTGCGAAGACCTCAGTGCAAAAGCATGAGAAAGTGGAGAAGACAAACAGTAACATCAGACAGGAACATCCACAGTTGATGTCAGTAGCACCATTCTCACAGTGGTGCGTGTGTAAACAACGACACAAGTGAAGAACAACTCGCAGAGCACACTGAATATACAAAAACAGGCAAATGATAGTGGAGCTGCTGTAGCTGGCTGCTGCTTGAGGAGGAGAGCTTAGTTGTGCGGAAATGTCTTACTGAAGGGTATGGACTCAAAGTCAATGTTATATTTTGTGTAAGTGGGATGTTCCCAGAGCAGCTCCACCTCCCATGTGGAAGTATTTCCATAGAGGGTTGTGGCTGTAGGTCCAGGAGCAGTTTTTCCCTTCTTTTAATGCATCAGCATATTTAGGTATGCTCACTGGCCGCATCAGCAGCCCATGTTAACATTTTTCCAGTTTCATTCATGTGGGATGTTAACATTTGGATATGGAATATTTCAATCAGGCTTTAGGCCCTTCAGGTGTACACTGCCCCCATGTGGCCTCTTTGTTTGATATTTAGGCAGTGGCACATTTTAAGTCCTTTAAGAGTAGATATGGGTTAAAGACCAAGCTAAGAGTACAACAAACAGGGCAATTGAATAACCTCTATATTCATAGTGCCCTGTCTCCTGAGCCCATATATTTAGGTCACTGTTTTTGTTTAGATCAGTCCATAAGAAAGACAATATCAATGTGTGGTTCTTGTTTGACCCTCAGAATCAAAACTGACAGTCTGATCAAATGACTGAAGTTAATTTTTTACTTGATAAGTCTGTTGAGAGTGGTGTGTTATCAGTATGTATGTATATATGCAGAGTGGTGTGTTATCAGTATGTAGGTATATGTGCAGTGTCCATGGAGTAGCGACTAAAACAGTCGATTTGGATTTGGCTCTTTTTGTTATTTATAGTGACATGAAAACATGGGAAACCATTTTTGAATAAAGCTTTTTATTTAAAAAAATTATCTTGTGATGAATCTCAATCTTTCAAATACACTTTAAAGAAAAAAGATCTTTTTAAAAAACGTCTTTGAAAAAAATGCAAGTATTATTTTCACAAGTTGAAATTGAGGGGATAGGGTTTTTGCAAAATAGTGCAATATAAATGATCATTTTGTATATGTTTAGTTTATTACTATCTCAATTAATGTTTTTTGTTTAAATAAATCATAACGTAATCTGATTACTTGTTTTTAATAGTTTTTACTGTTTTTCACAGTTTGAACTGATTCGGTACAATGTTCTTTTTGGTGCTCACATTTTGGTCTTGTGTCCAACATGCTTGTACTTACATCCAGACTTCTGTTGTTTAATATTCTTAATCAAAGAGCTCATATCCTAAAATTGTGTGATTTTATTTACCAAAATCAGTTAAGACCATTTTCAACCTCTCTTTATCTTCAAAATTAAACAGGTTGTTGTGTAACTGTAATTTTAGACTGATAAATGTAAATACCATCTGTTCTTTCTAGCTGCTATGTATTGTGCCTTATTTAATGTCAACATAAATGGGCGGGGCTAAACTGCTGTCTGAATAGGTGGATCTACTATATGTAAATGCGATGATTTTCAAGACTTCACAAAAACAGTGAATGCATAATGGGCTGTTTTTGGTGCTTAATTTACATATAAAGATTATATAGACATGAAAGTGAATTTAACGTTTTGAAACTGTTCAACTTTTCAATCTATCAGTCTTGACATACTGCACAAAAGTATTTTATTTCACAGGCTGTTTAACATTTGATGTAAACATTTTAATTGTAAGAGTGCTGCTTTTTGCAAGCTTAATATTGATATAAAAAAACATGTCAGTTTCAATTGGCAGTTTACCTAACCTAGAGCGAATTCTGCTGGAAAAATGTTCTGTGATTTCTCATTACTCCACTGCAGAAATGATACCGAGGTTCAGGATTCAACTGCAGAAGTCTGCAGAAATTTGTGGCTTAACCACTGCTAAACATTTCCATATTTTTTGGGAATGTACTGTTCTGTCTAAGTATTGGAAGAGTATGTGTCAGGCTTTCTGTACCATATTTCAGATGAATATACCTTTTGATTTTGGGTCTGTTTATCTGGTAAACCTTTTCTTGAACTTGTTTTTTTTGTTAATGCTTTGTTAGCGGCAAGAAATAAAGCAATCACTTGAAAGTGGCTGTCCACTGAGTTCCCTCAGTTGCACAACTGATACAACTTGTACATGAAATTTTTATTATGGAAAAGCTATGACTGACAAATTCTCAGATTTGGGTTAAATGGCTGGCTTACATAAGACCCCTGGGACTACATCGTATATAAGTTTTTTATGACCTTCCTTTTCTCTTCTTCTTCTCTCTACTTAAGAGTACACTTCCCCATTTGTAATGTATATAGGTTTATATACTAAATAGTAACCTAATTTCATGGGAAAATCAGACATTGTGGTTGTTTAAGCTTAAAAGGAATATTTTCCTTTTTTTTCAAAAATTAAAGTAGAGTAAGCTTTTATTTTTATTTTATTATTTTTTATTTATTTTATTAAATTTATAGCTATTATTATTAGTAGTCGTATTAATATTATTATTGTTGTTGTTGTTGTTGTTATTCTAAGAAATGCAAACAGGAGGAATATATACACATGAGTACCTCCAATGACGTATACACTGATGAGCCAAAACGTTATGACCACCTGCTGAATATGCTGTTGGTCCTCTGCATACTACCAAAACAGCTCAGACCCACCAAGACATGGATTTTACAAGACCTCTGAAAGTGCCCTGTGGTATCTGGCACCAGGAGGCCAGGGCAACATCTTAAACTCTTTGTCATGTGCATTGTGGCAAGGCACATTATCCTGCTACTGCAGTCGAGGAATACCATTTTCATGAAGGGGTGTACCTGGTCTGCAACAATGTTTGGGAAGGTGACGTGTCAAACTAATGTCCACATGAATTCCCGCACCCAGTGTTTCCCAGCAGAACCTTGCTCAGAACATCATACTCTATCTACTGGCTTGTCTTCTTCCCACAGTGCATCCTGGTGCCATCACTTCCCCAGGTGTACAGCGTACACATACCCGGACTTTTACGTACCTGGCTGTCCATGTGATTTAAAAGAAAACTGGACTTATCAGACCAGGCTACCTTCTTCCATTGCTCCAGAGTCCAGTTCTGACAACCATGTGCCCATTGTAGACACTTATTATGGGGCCACCGGGGTTAGCATGAGTACTCTGACTATGCAGGCCCATACTCAGCAGTGTGTGATGCACTGTGTGTTGACACATTCCTGCCGTGGCCATCATTAAAAATTTCTGTGATTGTGCCGCAGAGGTCCTTCTGTTGGTTCAGACCAGATGGGTTAGTCTTGGGCACCCAACAGCCTGTCGCCAGTTCACAGTTGGTCCCTCTTCAGATCTGTGTCGATAGGCACTCACCACTGCTGACCAGAAGCACCCTGCAGGCCTTGCTGTTTCAGAGCTGCTCCGACCCAGCCTTCTGGCCGTAATGATTTGGCTTTTGTCAGAAATACAACACATACAACATGTCAACTACAAGAAGCGACTGTTTGATTACCGTCTAATATATCCTAGACCTTGATATGCACTGTTGTTATGAGATAATCAACATCATTCACTTCATGTGTGAGTGGTAATTATGTTTTGGCTCATCGGTGTATATTGCAGTTGAATGGGATAATGTAATAGAAAAACAGTCACAGTTATCATAGATGTACTGATGGATGTGCATAGACATAGTTGACACTATAAATTTAATTCCCTTTTTTTCTTTGTGAATTTTGTACTTCTTTTATTTTTGAAAGACTTTCATCATGTTAAACTTAAAGCATCTAAATTAGTAGTGCCACAATAATTATAGCTGTAACGTAGGCCTGGGTATGACTATGTGGGGCCACATTTGTCCATAATAATATGAAGTGAAATCGAACTGTCCACGAAAAAGTGTTATTCAAGTAAGAAGACACTGCAAAAAAAGGATTCTGGGCAAGTGAAACTAATCTAATCTATCTATCTTGTATTTCTCATTTTGAGATTGTTGTAAACTTTTTAATGTACAGTTTAGACATTTTCACTTGTTTAAAGTAATTTGGTTAAGTAAAATTATGTCACTGTTTTGGCAAATGATATTGTTCTGCCAATATAGTGCGATCATTTTCTGACAGAATTAATTCAAGCAAATGAAATGAAAATGGAAAATGTTCAGAAATAAGTTAAATTATAAGTTAAATAATCAAAAGCTTGAAAAAATCTCAAAGTGACAAACATTAGATATATTGACTAGATTTGATAATTTCACTTGCCAGGACACCATTTTTGCAGTGCAGTGTTTGTTCTTTTTCATGTTTTTGTTTTTATTCACATTTTTTACTGTTCCATAGTATTAACGAATATTTTAATTCCACAAGATCCACACCATGTTTCATGATTATATCTCCCTTAATGTCTTTTCCAGCAATTTCCTTTCATCAACTTCAAGCCTCCTGTCTTTATTCCTGTAGGGCCATGCTGAGTGACATTGGTGACTATGTAGGTACAGACATTGAGATATCCTGGTTGCCTAATCTGGATGACTTAATGAAAGGCTATGCTCGAAACTTTCGGCCGGGGATAGGAGGTGAGTTTGAGATCTACTGCTCGTGTCGTTGGATTGCCATTTCACCCATCCTCGCATTTACAGTCATTCTTAGCATAAACACTCATGTGTAAAGTGGCACTGTTGTGGTTTCCAGTTCAACTTGTACCTTATTCTGCCTACTCCACAGTCAGATGAGGTTGCTTGCCAAAACAGTGTTCCAGTTCCTGAAGTCTAATTTTGAAGCACCATATTTAGGCCACACATTTTTAATGAGCTCTTTTTAATTCTGACTTTGCACATTAATGAGTTCTCGATACGTGAGAAGCGAGCAAGCCTACGGAAACCATCAGTGCAATTATGAATCCATTATTAAATGCATTATGCAACAGCATGAATATGCATGTTCCAGAGCTGCCCACGTAAAGATGATGTTGCTAAGAATGCTTGTCAAATGTGTCACGTCCAATGACCACAGCGTAGATTTCTCTATCTCACAGCTTAACTCAGCTCAAGCCAGGGTGAACATGCATCTGAGCCATATTTCAGCTAAAAGTGCTTTTTGCAGAGTCCATATCTGTCTGTTTCTCTGGCTTGCTTGTAAACATTGCAGCCAAATGCAAAGTTTTTTTTTTAGAACAGTTAAAGGATGTATGCTGAACAGACATTTGTGACCATTATGGAACTCTGCTTGCCTTTTTTTTTGCTCCATTTCTCTGCCAATGCAACTGCTTATTTCATCAGCATTTCAAATCTCAGGAGCATGGACCATCTTAGAGCATGTCTGAGGGGATTTGTCACATTTAAATGGGTGCTGCGGAATGTCTGAAATGGGTTCATTTAAAGAATGAATTGGATACTTAAGAGGAAAGCTACTCATAGTTGAAGCCTGACCTATATGAACAATTTGTTACCAGTATCAATTCAAAATTCTGTTCATCAGTAATATTAGCTAATATAATTTTTATGGTTTCATTAAACAGATTTGTAAACAGTGCTTAAACAGTGCTTCACTAACCTGGCATTTGACTTGTTTTTGTTTTTTAACCAAATGTTTGTTTAAGTTTATCAGTTAAGACTGCATTACAAAAAGATCACTGTAAAATTACAGTATATTAACTGTTTACATAGTAACTGTATACTGTGAGCAGTCACCTGGACCACAAGATTAATTTAATGTAGCTGTATTCTGCTCTACACTTGGATTAATAGGCTGTGATGAAAATGCACTCTGTATATTTACATAACAAAAAAAAACTCAGTAACCAGTCATTTACTGTAAATTTACCTATGAAAATAATTATTTTTAATTTCACCAGACTTTTTCCAAATAAAGTACAGATAAACACAATTTTAAAAAAATCATTGGACATATTTATTCACCATGTTTGCATGGAATATCTATGCATTTTTAAATATTTTTTCATTTTACAGGTTTGACTTTGCTTTGCAAAAACAATATTTAAGCCCTTTTAACTCAAGTTGCTTTCACATCCCATAAAGCTAATAAGAGCACAATAAGAGCATGACTTCCTCATACATGTTACTCTTAGAGGTGTCCATTCATTTAGGTGTGAAACAAGCCACTTAAAAATGTTAGTGCTTCTTCAAGGGGATTTTCGCCATCCTGATAAATCCATGTAACTCTAATATCAGCCAGATGATACTTTGGTCGGGCCCTAAGAGATGTGTTACGATTCACAGAATTCATTATGCAATTTCGTGTGATAGAAAGGTGTCTTTATTTGGTACATTTTTCAATACAGCAAATAGCTGAAATGTGAATAGCTGAATGTAAGCTAATGTAAGCTGCCTTACATTAACATTTCTATTTTCATTTTTCAGAACATTCAACATCATAAAATTACAACGTTTAAAACAAAAGCTGTGCTTTATAGTGTCCTTATCTAATGCTCTGTCCACAAGCTAATATGTTAGCCCCAAGCTAACACACTAGCCACAAGCAAACATGCTAGTCACAATATAATGATTAGATACAGTGCAATACAGTATGCTGTGATATAGTTCACTACTATACAATATGGTGTAGTGTTACATCCCTCGGCCTGACTGATCTTTTTACTCTCTTTATCTGTGAGAAATGAGAAATGAGTGCAGGGTGCAGTTAGCTAGCAAACACTGCTACCATAAGTTATACAGTCTGGAAATGGAGGTGGCATAAGTGTCCATTGGCAAGGAATGGGAAGGGTCCCTTGATAGCCAAGATGTCCGTTCAGGATTTATTTAAATGCCCCTAGATGCTATTATGGGACCTACACTGTATAGCTAGATGCTACATTGTTTATCATAAAAAGGCAAAAAGCTCTTATGACATCTGTTTTCAAAGTACAGCCTCAGAACCCTTTCTGACTGCTTATTGTTCCTTTCATAAATGTTACACCTGATGTGAAAAGCCTTATATAATGGAACAAATATCCCTCAGTCTTTATGACATCTCATCAGCAGATTCTACCATTTCAAGCAAAGACAAAGCCCAGACATCTCTTCATTGACATGGCTGCCCATTCATTAGCAAATTTGAGCATACTGTCTTCTTATTAAGGTGTCACTGTTGAGTTTTGATGTCCGAGGGTCCCTGGGGAGGTTGGGTGGGGGGAAGTCTTTCTTTTTTCTCACGTTCCTCTTCACAGGACCTCCAGTGAATGTGGCCATGGCTATTGAAGTAGCTAGCATTGACCATATCTCAGAAGCCAACATGGTAATGTATGAATAACTATATGGTTTGTTTATTGCTGTTCTATATTAATAATTTTTCAAGAAATCTTGGTACGTTGTCCAAAATAAAATATTACTGTGTTTGTGTTATTTGCTACATTACAAACTATTATTCAGTTTCAGAATTGTGCTGAAAATGTTAAAAAAAGCCAGTTATCACATCTATTTTAAACTAAATTTGTTATTTAAACACATATAATTAAGAAAAACATAGTGTGACAGTTTTATCAGAAGCTATTGTGCCAACTGGCCATCGGCCAGTCAGTAAAATGTTATGTGCAAGTCTAAAATAAAGGAAAGACTGTTACTACACTAAGATGAAATTATAAATATGTCGAGTGTGTATGTAAACTCTTAACGTTTGATACTAGGCACTAAATGAGTGAACTTTAAATGTGAACTCAGTGGGCCTTAAAATGATCACAAATACACTTAAGCCACTATTAAGTACAACTCCTTGTATCTGCATTTATTGTCCATTTCATCAGCTCCATTTACATACAGGTGCACTTTGTAGTTCTGCAATTACAGACTGTAGTCCATCTGTTTCCAGCATCACTGCTGTGTCTGATCCACTCATACAAGCGCAACAGTAGATCAGTGTCACTGCAGTGCAGAGGATGATCCACTAGCGAAATAATACCTGCTCTGTGGTGGTCCTCTGGGTGTCCTGACCATTGAAGAACAGGGAAAAATGGGGCTAACAAAGTATTCAGAGAAACAGATTGACTACCATCTCTAACTGTAGAACTACAACGTGGACCTAAATGCTAAGTGGAACCGATGGAGTGGAGTGGAGGTGGACTTAAAGTGTCCGGTTGACACTTAAAAATTATATTTTACCAAAACGTCTAAAACTATCCCTTGTTCAACAAAATGAAAACTCCCTGAAACTGACCCGGGCTATCCTATCCATTACCCAAAGTGTCAAATTACACTTGATAGGATAGCACTGGAGCCATCATTAGATTATGGACAAATAAAAACAAAATAACATAAAATAATGTGAAATAGTAAAATAAAGGTGGGCAATATGACAATATTTATCGTTATTGTGAGGATTTTTGTTGTCGTGATACATGATTACAGAACTCTGACCAGCTGCATATTTCATTACAAAGGCATCAAAATGAGTTCTGTTTACTTAGATTTGATGCAGCATCGTATTTGAAATATTGAAAAAAGTCATTGTATTCGTAGTTTTTCTAGCTGTCTTTAAATGTGACGCTGCATTTTGTCTGTGTCAAATGATCGTAGTATCATGTATCAAGAAAATTTCTTAATGTATCAAGATATACTATTTTCCAAGTCACCCACCCATATAGTCAATTAATTAGCTGTACAAAATTAAGTTTAAATCACACTTTTTGCATGTTTATTCATCAAATTATGCTTTTGAACATCTCGGACGTTTTTAATCTAGATAAACTCTCCATACTGTGCATCTCTCATGCTGTTCGGTGCTGAAATAGCGAGATGTTTCATTCACGTCTTCAGTCCTCTGGCTCTTTTTAGATAGAACATGTTACATATAACTATAAATAATAAATATATTTCTTGGCTAAACAAATTGAACAGTCTTTTGGCTGCACTAAACTGACCAAAAAGTCTTTTTTCAAGAGTGTGGGCCTCGCGGACCTCAACGCTGAGTGGGTGATTCTAGCGTCTGTTCTAAAACAGGGGAGAATGCAGGGTAAAATCGAGACACTGATGTATGAACCCAAACGGGTCCTGTTTCAGGTTCAGACAAGTATTTGGCTTATTGGTTTATTTATTAAATGACAAATACAGGGACCCAACTTTAAAAACGTACTTTCTTTTCTGAATCTGTATAATGTTCTCGGACTAAATATTTTAAAGCTAATTATTAAAACATACATAGTTACAAAGTATAATATTTCAAAATTTTATTAACAACTGTTGAGGTTTTTGTTTTTGCTTGTGTCACAGAACATGTTCTTTTTATTCTGATCCTTAGAGTTTACTAGGAAACATCGAAGTAAGAGATTTAACAGTTTATTGAGTATTACAGACTTATTTTTTCCAAAAAAAAGATATTTATCTATAGATATATATAAGTATTGGTATTGGGAAGCATATGTAGGTAAATTGCAGATGAGAAGAAGGGAGAATCAGGGTAAAAATGTCAAAAAAAAAAAGATTGAACTTTTTCTGGTTTATCCTATTGCGCTCTAATTGATCTACTATATTATATGAACATTTAATTATTTCTATTAATATAAATTATTTATTGTAAGATATGAAGCCCACAACCCCAAAGGATAAGCGGCTTAGAAAATTTATGTATGTATGATATGAATTTTATATTATATGAATATTTATATGAAAAACATTTAAGACCTTGGTTTGCGGCAGTTTCGTGAGAGTGACTATAAATTATTGCTGTAATGCTATTTTGCAAATTTATGTGAGGTGTTTGTTAAATGTGAGCTTGCACCATGTTTACTTGCATGTTTATGTGTGTGTGTGTTGGCAGGAATACACCATGACAGTGTTTTTGCGTCAGAGTTGGCGAGACGACCGTCTGTCTTACAACCACACGAACAAGACCCTGGGGCTGGACAGCCGTTTTGTAGATAAACTCTGGCTACCAGACACGTTCATCGTCAATGCCAAGTCAGCCTGGTTCCATGACGTCACTGTGGAGAACAAGCTCATACGCCTGCAACCTGACGGGGTCATCCTCTACAGCAGCCGGTGTGTGTGTGTAGGCGGAAATATAAATCTGAGAAAAACTGAAAAAGTAATGCATGCGCACGTCTTGGATGAGGAAATATTAATATTACTGAGGAATACTGACCTACTTACCTTTAACATTCACTTTCAGTTATACTTGTTCATAGACACAAAAAACAGACAACACAGCTGCTATCATCTAATCATGGCTGTTTCACCTTTTTATTCCAGAATCACATCAACAGTGGCCTGTGACATGGACCTTACCAAGTACCCCATGGATGAACAGGAATGTATGCTGGACCTTGAGAGCTGTGAGTGGAGAGATGTCTGGAGTGAAAACACATTTTATTTGTAGAATAGTGTATACTGTTGTTACATTGCTCTGTGTTTCTTGGTGCTGTAGATGGCTACTCTTCAGAGGACATTGTTTATCACTGGTCAGAGAGTCAGAAGTACATCCATGGGCTGGACAAACTGGAGCTGTCCCAGTTCACTATTACAGACTACCGCTTTGTGACTGAGATGATGAACTTCAAATCAGGTGAATCGGATTTGACATTTTAGACTTTTTTAGTTTCAAAAATGGTTTATCTCCTTTTCACAGTAGACACAAAATGCAGTTTCCGTCTCAGTTCAAGTATGCATTGTTTTCCTCAGTAACACTGACGGAATATATATATATGTATATGTATACACATATAATATACTGAAAGTGTGTATGATTTACTGGATTTTGGTCTTTGTGAGTGAGCAAACAAATAAACAAATTAATGAAAATGTTTTTATTGTGTTTAAATTGTTTTTATTGTGGCAGTTATGCATGATTTTTGATATGAAGAAAGCTGCACTTGCACTGTCAATTGTATCTCGGTATGGATGCCTTTGTGTATAAATTGTTTTCACAGCAGGAGGGTCTCACCCCTCCCTTTTCACCCCTCGTTGCTTGCTAGCAGCTCAACACAGTCACGGTTCTTACACAGAGAGCCAACATTAATCTGTGAATCTGGTTTAGTTAGTAGTTTTAATTAAATTACTTAAAAATACTCATTGATGGCTTCAAAATTGTCAGTTACTCAATTATTATTAATTAATGGTAGTTTAGTGTGAAGAGTTATGTACTATGTAATTTAATAACTAGTCTTTTTTCTTTCTTGTCTGTTTTAATAGCTGGGCGATTTCCTCGTCTCAGTTTACGTTTCCAGCTGAGGCGTAACCGAGGAGTTTACATCATCCAATCATACATGCCCTCCATCCTATTGGTTGCCATGTCCTGGGTGTCCTTCTGGATCAGCCAGTCAGCTGTGCCTGCAAGGGTAACTCTAGGTTAGTTGTTCCATTTTGGCATGCAAAATAAGTAATGTCCGCCATGTAGAAAATAAGATTATCAATAACTTGAATACAGGCATCTGCAAAAGTTTGAGCACCCCTGGTCAGGTTACATTTTTTGTTGATTTCCTAAGGGGAAATAAGTTAACACATCCTCTATAGAGAACACACTTCTGCACATTTGTATTGTAGAATGTAAAATTGATTTGTTGAATTTAACATACTGAAAATTAACCATAAACTGTGGCTCTGTGAAAAGGTTATGACACATTTTATATTGTATGTTTCATTTTTTTCAATATGTTAAACATTATTGTGCACTAAAATTAGCAAAAAGTATGCTATCTCTAGAAGATGCGTCGCTTAGAAAATTAACAATATAATTTAACCTGGGGTGTTCAAACTTTTGCAAATGACTGTAACATATCTAAGGTATTGGACTATGTCCATATATGAATAGATGTATGCTGAAGAGAAGTAACTTTTGCCCTCAGGGATCACCACGGTTCTCACCATGACAACGCTGATGGTCAGTGCTCGCTCCTCGTTGCCCCGCGCCTCCGCCATAAAAGCCCTGGACGTCTATTTCTGGATCTGTTATGTGTTTGTGTTCGCCGCCCTGATTGAGTATGCCTTCGCCCACTACAACGCCGATTACAGCAAGAAGGAGAAAGCCAAGGTCAAGTCAAACAAGAGTGCAGAGGTAAAATAAAAGAGCACTTGCCTAAATGTGAAAATGCTTGTTGGTTCTGAGCAAAGAAAGAAGACATTTAGCTACAGTGTTTTTTTTTAACATTAGCGGGCCCACATCATGGAAAACTGAAGTGTCCTTGTTTTTTGTAATATGTAGACATTGTGAAAGTGTTAACTTCACTAAACTAAACTACACATTTACTGCTTTTATGAACTCATGGACTACTGTGGGGATACAAATGTTGGCTATCTTGCCAAATGATAGCTTGTCACCAGTAGCACACAGTTGGCAGCTCTGTACGCCAGACTCTTTGGCACTGTTCGCAAGATTTATGCAGTGCAAGGCGACAGTATTGGTTTTAATGTCAGGTGCAGTCCAAATACTTTTCGTGCTACACCAGAGTGCTAGCTAGCTAGCATATTTTTAGTTATTTCTAACATAAAAAGTGTTGCTAAGCTGTTGCTATGCTATTCTAGGTGGTTGCCTAGGTATTGCTAGGCCATTGCTGTGGTATCTCAGGTGGTTGCTAAGATGTTGCTGTGCCATTTCTGAAAAGTTTGGTGGTTCTAGTTCAAAAGCTGTAGGAAAAGCAGCATTACAACTTTTTGACTAAAATAATAAGAACAAAATGAAAAACAGTATGTTAGCTTTGTATAGCCGATTACTTTTGTTTTAATTCAGCTATTAAAATGGAACATATCTTGAACTTTTCTCATTCTTATAGAATATTTGAATATTCTATAAAATATTCAAAAGAATATTTGAAAATACAGTCAAGGCTGAAATTGTTGGCACCCCTGAAAGTTTTCCAGAAAATGAAGTATTTCTCCCGGAAAATTATTGCAATTACATGTTTTGTTATACACGTTTATTTCCTTTGTGTGTATTGGAACAACACAAAAACAGGGGAAAAAAAGCCAAAAATGATATAATTTCACGCAAAACTCCAAAAATGGGCCGGACAAAATTATTGGCACCCTCAATTTAATATTTGGTTGCACACCCTTTAAATAACTAAAATCAGTCGCTTCCTATAACCATCAACCACCAACATCAGCTTCTTACACCTCTCAACTGGAATTTTGGACCACTCTTCTTTTGCAAACTGCACCAGGTCTCTCATATTTGAAGGGTGCCTTCTCCCAACAGCAATTTTAAGATCTCTCCACAGGTGTTCAATGGGATTTAGATCCGGATTCATTGCAGGCCACTTCAGAACTCTCCAGCGCTTTGTTTCCATCCATTTCTGGGTGCTTTTTGAAGTATGTTTGGGGTCATTGTCCTGCTGGAAGACCCATGACCTAGGACGCAAACCCAGCTTTCTGACACTGGGCCCTACATTGCGACCCAAAATCCTTTGATAATCTTCAGATTTCATGATGCCTTGCACACAGTCAAGGCACCCACTGCCAGAGGCAGCAAAACAACCCCAAAACATCTTTGAACCTCCACCATATTTGACTGTAGGTACTGTGTTCTTTTCTTTGTAGGCCTCATTCCGTTTTCGGTAAACAGTAGAATGATATGCTTTACCAAAAAGCTCTATCTTGGTCTGATCTGTTCACAAGATGTTTTCCCAGAAGGATTTTGGCTTACTCACGTACATTTTGGCAAACTGCAGTCTAGCATTTTTATGTCTCTGTGTCAGCAGTGGGGTCCTCCTGGAACTCCTGCCATAGCGTTTCATTTCATTCAAATGTCGACGGACAATTTGCGCTGACACTGATGCACCCTGAGCCTGCAGGACAGCATGAATTTCTTTGGAACTTGATTGGGGCTACTTATCCACCATACGGACTATCCTGCGTTGCAACCTTTCATCAGTTTTTCCGTCCACATCCAGGGAGATTAGCTACAGTGCCATGGGTTGTAAACTTCTTGATTATGTTGCGCACCGTGGACAAAGGAACATCAAGATCTCTGGAGATGGAATTGTAACCTGGAGATTGTTGATATTTTTCCACAATTTTGGTTCTCAAGTCCTCAGACAGTTCTCTTCTCCTCTTTCTGTTCTCCATGCTTAGTGTGGCACACACAGTGCAAAGATTGAGTCAACTTCTCTCCTTTTTATCTGGTTTCAGGTGTGATTTTTATATTGCCCACACCTGTTACTTGCCACAGGTGAGTTTGAACAAGCATCACATGCTTGAAACCAAGTTATTTACCCACAATTTTGAAAAGGTGCCAATAATTTTGTCCAGCCCATTTTTGGAGTTCTGCGTGAAATTATGTCATTTTTCCCCTGTTTTTTTGTGTTATTCCAATATACACAAAGGAAATAAACGCGTATAACAAAACATGTAATTGCAATAATTTTCCGGGAGAAATACTTCATTTTCTGGAAAAATTTCAGGGGTGCCAACAATTTTGGCCATGACTGTAACAACAGTATTTGAAGTCCAAGCACAATTTGAACTGCTTTTTTAACATGGTTTGCCTTGCTTCACTTGTGAAGGCATCAGCCAATCAGAACAGACATAATTTACATAATATCAGTTTTAAAGGCACGGTAAAAAAAATAGACAGTTTTAGGGATAAAGAGAGGTTGGGAAATGTAAAAGTTACTGTTTTTGGAACAAATAAAACCCACACAAATGTTATAAAGTGAGCCCTGTAATATTTAGACCCACGCTACATTACAGGTGGGCTCAAATATTTTAAAGCATCTTTTATTAATTCTCCCAGAGATGATAGTCATGGCTGCCTACGTTTTAACTCATTATAAGCTTTTATGTGTGATGTAAATGTGTCTACAGTCAGGGTATTTGGGGCTCCCTCTTGTGATACACTCTCTTTCATTTTACAGTCCATGGTGAAGAACGGCAAGCAGGCCATGGTCCTCTTCTCCCTGTCGGTGACGGGCATGAACCAGGGTCTCCTGATCTCCAGGCAGAACCGAGCGCAGCGTCCTGCAGAGACACCAGCGGAGCCGCAGGAAGAGGCCGAGACACGCAGTGCCCATGTGCGCCGGGCTGAGCGAGAGAGCAGCCAGGAGAAGAAGTGCTGCAAGTGCAAACCCATCGACGCCGACACCATTGACATCTACGCCCGTGCTGTCTTCCCTTTCACCTTCGCCGTCGTCAACGTCATCTACTGGGTGGCTTATACCATGTGACTTCCAGATGCTTCAGCGCTGACTGCATGTATATAGATCAGCAAAGCAAAGTGGTGCCAAAACCATGTGATAATGGACATTTTTATGCCATTGGATTACCAGGGGGATCAAACTGTGGGATTGTTGGAACTGATGGATTTTAATGTACTTTTAATATGGAAAAATGCTGCTTGTTTCAAGTGGATGTTCTGCAGTTGGACTGGGTGATGAGAACCACACTTTGTCCCAGTTTCTCAGATTCATGCTGGAGGAATATGTGGAACTGCTTTATATTATGAACTTTGGAACTCGCCTTTGCATCCCTACTTAGTTTCCCTTTATGTGTTGCTATTTTTTGTGTTATGTTGCAGTTGGTACTGACCTCGTCTCTACAACCTCTAACTTTCTTTCAGTCCAGCCTTGCAGTAGAAATGTCTACTCATAACTGGGATGATGAAATCGACAGACAACGTTGCATGACAGCTATAGTATGATTTTGTTAGTAGCCCATTCCTGTTCCTCTTCTTCTTCTCCCCTTACCATGCCTGTCTTTGAATGGCGGGTACATGATAGGAATCGACCAACATCCGGTTAGCAATTGACTAGTTTATTTTCATTTTGGCTGTTCTGTGTTATGATTTTAAGAGATAAATAGTGTGAGCCAGTGCACTCTCATTGGATTAGAACACTTTATGCTATACAGCACTGTGCAAAGTCACAGACAGCCCTTCATTTATTTAATTTCCAGTCAAAATAGACATTAAGTTATTCATTAAGTTTGCCATTTTGACTGGAAATTAAATAAATTACATTAAATAATTGAAGGGTGGTCTCTTAGTTGTGCACAGTACTATCCTGCCAAGAATTCAGCTGTTTAAATGTCTTTCAGAATGGTTGAAGATGATGTTAAGCCATCTGTAATCTGTCTGCAGTGAAAAATGTATCCAGTTCTAAACGGAAGCCTTTTGAAGAGCACAGGTTAAACAATGAACCTGTTGTAGTTTGAATGTAATGGACCCAGAAAACCTTAGGCCTATATTCTCTCAGTGAACCAAGCCATATATTATAAACTTTTATTAGTGTTATGATGCATGTGAGTATTCATAATGTAATCCTAGGTAGCATATTCTAGATTTATCATAAATAAAATGTATTTCTACACAAAGTTTTAGGTTCCAAAGTGGCCAGCGGACATGGAAATCTCCTGTTCTCAGTTCCTCCAAGTATTAGTGTGCATTTTATGGTAAGCTTTCAAAAAAATGGGCCAGCTTTTTCCTTACGTACCTCTGCTGTTAGAGGGCTCCAAATAATTAAATGACAAGAGTGAAGAGAAAATTGTACAGTGGATTATACAAAGGCATTAACTGCTGCAATAAACTGGAGAATGATGAAAAAGACAGAAACATTTGTATGATTTACTTCTTTAAAATGATAAATGTGTATATAGACAGTGATTATATAAGGCTCAAGCACGCTATATGGCCAAAAGTATGTGGACACCCTTCCTAATTATTGTGTACAGATGTTCCAGCCACACCCATTGCTAATAGGTGTATAAAATCAAGCACACAGCCATGCAGTCTCCATAGACAAACATTTGGCAGTAGAATGGATCATGCTGAAGAGCTTGTGACTTTAAACGCGGCACTGTTACAAGTGCCATAAGTCAGTTCCTTAAATTTTGGCCCTGCTAGATCAGCCCCAGTCTACTGTAAGTGCTGTCGTTGTGAGAAATCTAGGAGCAACAACAGCTTAGTCACAAAGCGGTAGACCATGCAATCTCACAGAGCGGGACCTGTGTAGCATTTATATAGCACCTACATTTTGTTGCATCACTCACTACAGAGTTCTGAACTGCCTCTAGACGCAAGATCAGCACAAGAACTATGTATCGGGAGCTTCATGAAATGGGTTTCCATGACCCAGCAGCTGCACACAAGCCTAAGATCACAATGCGCGATGCCAGGCGTCAGCTGGATTGGTGTGCAGCACGCCGCCACTGCTTCGCTATCTACCAGTCTGATGGATGAATCTGGGATTGGTGAATGCCAGGAGAATGCTACCTACCACAAAGCATAGTACCAACAGTAAGGTTTGGTGGAGGAGGGATAATGGTCTGGGGCTGTTTTTCAGGGTTTGGGCTCAGCCCTTTAGTTTCCAGTGAAGGGTAAAGTTAATGCTACGGCATACAAAGACATTTTAGACAATTACATGCTTTCAACTTTGTGTCAGCAGTTTGGGGAAGACCCTTTTCTGCTCCAGCATGACTGTGCCTCTGTGCACAAAGCAAACTCCATTAAGACATGGTTTGGTGAGTTTGGTGTGGAGGAACTGCAGTGGCCTGCACAGAGCCCTGATCTTAACCAAACTCAACACCTTTGGGATGAATTGGAATGTTGATTGTGAGCCAGGCCTTCTCATCCAACATCAGTGCTTGACCTCACAAATGCTTGTTTGATTGAATGGGTACAAATGGTTTTTGACTGAAAGGGTACTGACATGATGCACTTTGTCAGAAAACACATTTTAAATTCTCTAACAAAGGTGGTATTTATCATGATATAGCAATGATTTTTTGTAAGCTTCAAGCCCACTTCGAACAGCATTACACAGATTCATTAAGTACACCTCCTTGTTTTAACACTCGTTGCTCATTTTATCAGATCCACTTACCATATAGGTGCACTTTGTAGTTCTACAATTACAGACTGTAGTCCATCTGTTTCTCTGCATACTTTGTGAGCATATTCCTCAAAGGCCAAGATCCTCACATGACCACTGATATTTGAGTGGTGGATCTTTCTCAGCACTGCAGTAACACTGACATGGTGGTGGTGTGTTAAGTGTGTGTTGTGCTGGTACGAGTGAGTCAAACACAGCAGTGCTGCTGGAGTTTTTAAACACTGTGTCCACTCACTGTCCACTCTATTAGACACTCCTACCCTGTTGGTCCACCTTGTAGTTGTGAAGTCAGAAACAGTAGCTCATCTGCTGCTGCACAGTTTGTGTTAGTCATCTATTAGTCCTTCATCAGTGGTCACAGGATGCTGCCCACATGACGTTGTTGGCTGGATATTTTTGGTTGGTGGACTATTCTCAGTCCAGCAGTGACACTAAGGTGTTTAAAAACTTTAGCACTGCTGTGTCTGATCCACTCGTACCAGCACAACACACACTAACACACCACCGCGTCAGTGTCACTGCAGTGCTGAGAATGATCCACCACCCAGATAATACCTGCTTTGTGGTGGTCCTGGGGGGGGTCCTGACCTTTAAAGAACAGGTGACTAACAGAGAAACAGATGGACCACAGTCTGTGACTATAGAGCTACAAAGTGCACCTATTTGGTAAGTGGAGCTAATAAAGTGGACAAAGAGTATAGAACAAAGTGTACATAATCTTTTTCTCTTGACCCAAAATCAAGGTCACCTGGACCTGCTCAGTATATTTATACATGCTTAGCTGTATCATGCAGTACACCTATATGGGCATCTACATTTGCTTCGTTTTCAGCTTTTTCCTTCAATTTGTCAGATATGTCTTTCTGTGAGTACTGAGGAGGAGGTGTGTTGTCACAGAAGTAGTAAAACAGTGAGGAATGGTAAACCATGAAAGTTGAAGGAACAAGCAAATGAACTCTCATTATGTATGTAAATCCCCACTGACTGAATGAAGTCTCTGCTGAGAAACAGAACTTCAAAGTGTCTGTACAAGGAAGGAGAGGATAACACGACATGTGAGGAGAAACAAATGTAGACAGAAGAGTGGGATGAGAGAACAAGAGGAAGGACGAGAGTGGCAAGGTTACTTTCCTAAGATGATTTAATCTTTGATGGAAAGCAGTAAAATGCTGACAGAGACATGAATGTTTTGGCTTTGGTTTAAATTATTCAGCTGAGAAAGCCTGTTTTCTGAAACGCACTCCTGCATCCTATCTTTCCTTTAAACAGCTGCCATTTAAAAGACGTAAAGGTTGCGTTAGCTGGGCTTAGTGTGTATGAATTCTAACAGCAGTAGAGGTGATTAAATCAGACCATACCCCAGTGTCTGCTCTGTGTTTATTACACTGGATGATAGTGAAACGTTAAAGGAATTGTAATGTCTTCTCCGTGTGCAGTTTGACATTTCCATTTGGTATTTTGTAGGAAAGCATAGTATATGTAGAGCTTTAAAGGCTTATAGCCTTGGCTGGACAAAATAAGTGAACAATGGGGCCCTCTACTGGACGTAACATTTACTTGCTACTGGTCTGCTACACAGTTAAAAATTTAGTTAAAAAAAAAAAAACTTAAACAAACAATTAAGTAATCAGACTTTAGATATTTACAAGGACTGTGTTATGATCTATTTAAACCCAAGGCAACCATTGAGATAATAATAAGCTAAATATATCATTGCTGTCCAAAGAAAAACCTCGTATCTCCAAAAAGATAACTTTATAGGAGAAAAAAAAACTACTTTACATTTAATGTAAGTCAAAGAAACCAGACTTTTTAAGTAATTTTAGGCCATTTCTTCTGGTCCATTCATTTTTAAATTTTCCAGTAATGTGAAAAACTGAAAAATGCAGCGATGTATCTGATTGTCTGTCCTGTATTGCTCCTCATTCAAAAAGCACTCAGAAACACTCCTTATATCTCCAGTGTGAATGTGCAGAGCTAAAGTGCTGTAGGCTGAATAGGTGGATATAAGGAAATGGGCTTATGACATTACAAACAGTGAATTCAAAACAGACTGTTTTTGCAGTTTACTTTTGACTGTATGGACTGGGGAGTGAATGGTGAGTTATAAAACTCTCCATGTTTACATATTAATTCAGATACCTTTATTACTTAAAGGCAAGGTAAATTCAGTTTTTCTTGGTATGGGCCCTTTTTTCAAATGTAAAACTGTAAATACTTTTGAACTCACTCAGCTACATTGTTGTTGAGTAAGATTTAAAAATCCGCTAATGGTTGCATTACATAAATAGCAATTTACTGTACCACACTAACAGTAAAATACTGGATACTGTGACATCACAGTCAGCTGGACCACAATATTACTGTGATGTGGCTCTATTCTGCTGTACACATACAGTAATAATCTGTTACTGCAAAATCTGTAGGAATAATGCAACTCAGTAGCCAGTTAATTACTGTAAATGTATATAAGAAAAAAATTGCACAGTTCTTGTATGTATTTTTAACATGCAAATACACATTTACAGACATAATCAAAAACTCAAATGTTTGTTATTCAAATATTTATGCATTTTTGTGCCTTAACCTGCTGTCATATCCCATAATGTTGTGCAGTAGAGCTCAATGCCAAACTCAGTCATTTGTTGTGTTACTACAAAAAAAAGGTTAATTTCACAATAAAATGATGATGAATACGGTGCAATCCTGACGATAATTAACAGTATCCTAAAACCAAAAATCAAGAACTACTGTGTGATCAGAAACTGACCATAGATGAAGGTTTAGAGAATGATTAACACAAATTCCACACAAGTGGTTGCCCTGAAACAACACTGCTGAGATTTGCCTTTGTCATATCTTTGACTGTAACACATCAGATTTCACCTCTGGACTAAATTAAATGTATTGGATTGTCTGAATGCACTTTAACCCCTTAAAATCCCAGGCCTATTGCACACTATGGCTTATTATCCAGTAACTACAGGGACTTCAGTGCAAACTGATTGAGCTATTCTTAGGCTATAGAAGTGTGTAATAAACCTTTGAGCCTGCTGGTGGGCCCTGACCATTTAAGGGGTAAAGGAGGGTACATTAAGGTGAACCATTGTGTGCTTTCATACTAAAAGCAGCGATGATGAGCACGCTGGCAACAGATGATATAAGACAAGCTGTAGTCTTTTGAGAACAAAGGTCTGGATTCATGACAGAAAGCACAAAGATCTTAAGGCAAACATTGAGAAGTTTTTGAGAAAGTTCTTAAATGTGATTTGCAAAAAAAAGAGAAAGAATTTCTCAGAAATTCTCCTAAGAATGTCTTAATTATTCGAAGCTACTGTAAAATTAAATGGACATTTTGGCCTAAAACTAGCATTTCGTATGTTATTTGTCATGTTATGTAATATTCAGTGGTGCAACATTGAATCCTTCAGCTTGCATCATATTGGTGTTTTCATCCATCAGTGTTGTTTTACTACAATATCCAGCATGCATTGCAACACATTTAAGAAGATCACCTCTGTATAATCCAAGCAATGCTCTCTCTGTATGTCTATTCAGTCTGACCAGCAGAGGGCACAGTAGACTACACTATGCGCACTGTTATGAACACATCTGATACACACCTTTGCACTACCTGCAAATGGGCATCTCAAATATGTCACCCAATTCTACACAGAACACTTTTTTTCTCCATTTTTGGCTGAGAAGCACCTTATCTTATAAA